TGATGAGAGTGCTCTACCAATAATAGCTGAATCAGGAATAACCAGACGTGAAACCAACGAAAAGTGATCAGATTTGTAATACCCTTTGCTAAAACTGTAACAAACCAGTCTTCATATCTTATTAGAGCGTGTAAAACGTGGAACGTTTTAAATAGTGACCTCCGTAATAGAGATATTGGCCTGCAAGCTTTCAAATCTGGACTAAAGACGTACTACAAATACGCGCTAAGAAATAATATTTATAAGTATGACGATCCGCGAACTTGGAAATCTGTGTGCGTTAAATGTAAAAGGCTAGGTCCCTTGATGCATGGTGTTTTAAGTTGTTGTTAGTTGTCTCTTGCACCGATTGTACTTTGTCTTAAATTAGTTCGTTTCGACTGTTAAAATTAATGTAAACGTAAAGTTAATTATGGGGTCGCCGTAATTGGGGAAACTGTGGCGAACTCCCTGGCGCTATATTAGCCGAATCTCATTAAATCATTAAATCAAATGTTGTAATCAAATGCCCTGCAAAGTTTGCCGTTTTTCAGTCATTTTGTATTACGTACGGGAAATTGATACCTTTTTTCAGAAAGCGGTATCAATTTCCCCAGCGTAATACAAAATGACTGAAAAACGGCAAACTTCGCAAGGCCATATTATCCGCATTTTGCAACATTTCGCAACGAAACTTCGGAATATTACTAATTTTGTGATCTAGACTTGTCTAGATCACAATTTTGTTCATTAGGGAATAGGTCCATTAGGATCAGCACAATTTCGGTTAGCACTATTTTCCATCCAGCAAACCACCCTATCGATTTTCTAAAGTGGTTTCTTTTCGGATTTTTTTATTAATTTGGTTAGGGTTAGGGTTAGGGTTGCGGTTAGAGTAGGGTTTGGGTTAGTACATAAGGGGCCATTCACAAAGGATGTCCGGCCAAATGATGGATTTTCAGACCCCACCTTCCCCCTTTGTCCGAATTAGTGTCCCCCTCCTCCCCCCCGGACATCCGCCATGCCTCGCAAAAACTCACGTAACCTTGTATATGTCAAGAGTAAAAAACTTCTTTTAGTTTTACTACTTTTTTATAACTATAAATGTGTATACAAAAACATATAAATTACTAATTAAAACAAAATCTAGTATTAACCGCATAGTCAAAATGCCAATTTCACAATGGAAAGGAGAGTTCAAAATAGAGGAAAAAGAAATTTGTTTTTGAATTTTTTTAAATTTCGGACATCCGGATTGCTAAAAAAACCCCTCCCCCCCCTATGTCCGAGTTTGTCCTGATTTTCCAAACCCCCCTGCCCCCGGCTCGGACATCCTTTGTGAATGGCCCCTAACCATTTAACACCTCTTCCGAAAATGACGTCATTTTGGTAGATGGAAACATGTGCTGACCATAGATATAAGAGATCTAGATTGCTAACCCATACCTAGCGCAGGCGGGGCCTACATGATAAATCCAAGATGGCGGTACAACAGGGCAAAAAGACTATAGATTCTATTACGAAAATCAGGATTTTTGCATTTTTTGCCGTCGCATTGTTTCGAAACTTATTCGGTCAAATTTATGGTAAAGAGAAACTTACCGCGAAGATTTTGAGCATATATATGATTGAATTGGATGAAAAATCGCAAAATTATCCAGCGATAAAAGTTCGTGTGAAATGGTCAGTTGGAGCGTTTTATTGCCAGAAATACTGTGCTATGTTAACATCTAGCCTTGTGAATGGTGTTTTATACTTGCATCTCTCATCATCATCTGCTCTGTCCTCATAATTATGAAAAATGAACTGTTATGTACCCCCCCCCCCCTCCTTGCTTGTTAGAGAAGTAAACTGATGAGAGCACTGGATGAGGGTCTATCGTCTATGGTCTGTTATAATTTGCTTTTTATGCAAATAGTGAGCAAAAAGCAAAGCAAAACTGTACAAGTTACATACATAGTACTATATCAGTACTATACACGAACTTTTATCGATGGATAATTTTGCGAGTTTTCATCCAATTCAATCATATATATGCTCAAAATCTTCGCGGTAAGTTTCTCTTTACCATAAAATTTGACCGAATAAAGCCCCGTTTACACTACGCTCAATTTTTGGTACGGCACGGATAAAATTGGTACCCGTACCACTTTTTTGGTTCTTGGACTACCTATTTAGCTAAGCCCCGTTTACACTACGCTCAATTTTTGGTACCGTACCGCTTTTTGGTTCTTGGACTACCTAAATAGGTAGTCCAAGAACCAAAAAAGTGGTACGGGTACCAGTTTTATCCGTGCCGTACCAAAAATTGAGCGTAGTGTAAACGGGGCTTAAGTTTCGAAACAATGCGACGGCAAAAAAATGCAAAAATCCTGATTTTCGTAATAGAATTTATAGTCTTTTTGCCCTGTTGTACCGCCATCTTGGATTTATCATGTAGGCCCCGCCTGCGCTAGGTATGCGTTAGCAATCTAGATCTCCTATATCTATGGTGTAAACGCTGCCTAGATCTCCTATATATATATGGTGTTGACCCACAATTCCATGAAATAACAAAAATGCAATTCTGAAAAGAATAAAAATACATAATTTAGTGTGGTTATGTTACCAGGAAGTTTCATTGTAGTGGTAGTATGTTGCACTGGTAAAAATCTTTATTTACAGTTTAAAAAACTTCAAAAATAAATCAAGCTTTCGGACTAAGCGTCCATCGTCAGGATTAAAATGGCATAAAGATTGGAATGAGCTACCTCAAGAACTGCGTAGAGTACAATCTTTATCAAACTTTAAAACTAAAGTATTTAAGAATTTATTAAATATGGACAAAAAAGAACATATATGTAGTGTAAAATAGTAATGTAGTGTAAAATAGTAATTTGTGTTTTTTTTTACCATAGAAATCCTTTACGATGCTGGTCACCGGTTAATACCAGCTATTTCTTGTAAATATGCTGATCGGTCTTTTTTTTCCTCCAGTTTAAATAAAGTCATTATTATTATTATTATAAATGATTAGTCGCTTAAATACTATTTACATGTTAATGACCTAACTAAAATATTAGGTTTTTGAATAATTAGACTAGAAGACAAAAGAGTCATAATAGAGTCATATTAGCGTATTATAGAGTCAATAAAAGAGCCATAATAAGACACTGGACAAAAGAGTCATATAGCGTATTATAGCGTCAACAAAGCATTATTTAGTCTTTATCAATAAGCGTTCTAAAAACTTCCGGCAATGTTCTGCCATTGTCTCTATTGGCAATGAATGGCACTCTTCTCATTTTCCATAATCCAGGTTTCCTTCCATTTTCTATGCGACCACCGACTTTCCTTACATACTACCTTGGTATCATCCCACTCTCTTTTGTCCAGTGTCTTATTATGGCTCTTTTGTTGACTCTATAATACGCTAATATGACTCTATTACGACTCTTTTGTCTTCTAGTCTAATTATTCAAAAACCTAATATTTTAGTTAGGTCATTAACATGTAAATAGTATTTAAGCGACTAATCATTTATGCCATTTTAATCCTGACGATGGACGCTTAGTCCGAAAGCTTGATTTATATTTTACGTTTTTTAAACTGTAAATAAAGATTTTTACCAGTGCAACATACTACCACTACAATAAAAATACAATTCGAAAGTCGAGACTATCCGAGGATCACTTCATTGTGCAATTGTGCTACATAAAGAAATATGTCGTCAAGCAAGACCAAAAAGGTAAATTTATCACTGTAATGTGTCGCTTCCTCTTCTTGTTTTTTACCGTATTTTCAATGAGGTAATTCGTGAGGAAAACACGACGAAAAATCATAGGTGATAGAGATTTTCCTACATAAACTTTAACTTTAATTTTCTCGACAGTAAAGAAAAAACGAGTATTTTATAATTTTCGTCTTCCCGCCGTTCGGGGCGAACCGCGTAAGCCCGGGGAGAGGGTACTAATTGGCGATCGGCTTGCGATCGGCTATTTACGTGAATCTCGTTCCCCGAGCTTGCGATCCTCGGGAAGGAACGCGAGGCTCTGGGATAATCCGTTTCAGGGAGGAATCTCATAAAATTAGCTTTTAAAATTAATTATTTTTTAACCAAGAAAGAGATAGAGCTTTTTTTTGTTTCATCAAAAGAGTTCCATATTTTAGCTCCTTGATATCTTGTTTATATATCTTGATATTGTTTTTGCTCGCGTTTACGTAGTAAAAGCATAAGGTTAAATAATATCCTGGCATTCAGCCAATTCATTTCTGCATGCAAAAAATCCAAAACATTCCGGTCGAAACGTGGCTGAATGGAGATTTAAAACGCGTATCTATTTCATGGGTCGTGTCAGATTCAGACACCATAATGGAAATAACCGCCCGCGCCATTTTGAAATTTGAAATAAGAGCCGGACGGCCTGTCTAACTTGGAGTGGCCTAATCTATCAAGAAGTACATTTCTGTGATTGCATTTGTAATCCGGGGGAGGGGGGGGGGGGGGGGG